AGGACTCCCTTAGGGGAGGGGTCTTGTTCCGCTTTTAGGTGTTCTTGTGAGTTCATTATGGTTTGTGTCATGCTCAGAAAGAAGAGGCGGTGGCGGCTCCCTAAAGATAAAATGAGGTTCACTCCGCCTAGCCCACATTTTGGTGACACCTCTAGCGTCGTCGGAGGGTGTGTGGTGATGTGTCTCCGCTGGATCTTGCGTGATTCGATCGGTGTTGGTCTTCGGTGGATTTGCTTGGATCCAGTATTTGTTCATGTGTCTACATGTTGGATCGTTTCGATCTACTACATTTCTCTTCATCGACGACGGTTGTTGTTCTGATGCGTTGGTCGTATGGGGCCTTAGCACAAAGACTTCTCAACTGTCTACTGCAACAAGTTTGGCCCGGCTCCGGTGAGGGAGGGACGATGACGGCGGTCGGCAGCGTGTCTTCAACTCGCTCCAGTGCTTTTAGTCGTCGCTAGGTGGTCTACAAGTATAGATGTAATTTTTGTTATTTCTGTGTTATTTGTACTGTGATGGCATGATGAATAGATTGAAGGTTTTGTGATTTTTTTAAAATGGTCTATTGACAACATTAGTTTTCTTTTCCAAAGTAAATAAATAAAAATGAAAAATAATAAAATTACGTACGTTTTCTTCTCGTCCATCAAAATACTCAAACACACGGCAACAAGCCGATCACTGGAGCTCGCGAGCAGTACGCAAGTCGGAAACCCACGTCGTACTGGAGTCCATCGACCGATCCACATCTCCCTCTGCATCTCCAACTCCTCCGCCCTGCTGCGCGGGCCCAACTCGGCGCCAAAAAATCCATCTCGCATCTCACGCTCTTCTAGCTCTATCTCCCCCCGCCATGGAAGACCGGCAAGCCACCGGCGGCGCCACGACCAAGGTCCGCGTGAACGGCACGCCGGCCGAAGCGACGCTCTCCACCACCACAGGCGGCTGCCCCGAGCTCCGGTGGCGCTGCGCCGGAGCCACGGTGGAGAGGAGCCTCTCGCTGGAGGCCGACGTGCTCGGAGCCGAGGCGAGCGGCAAGGAGGTCGTCGTCTGCGCCTTCGTGGTGGAGGACGCCGCGAGACCTCCGTCGTGCGCCAAGGCTGGAGGGAAGAGGCGCAGGAGGGAGTACGTTTTCGAGATGGCCGACGGCGAGGGCGCGGCCGCCGCGTGGGGCGAGACGCTACGGGGCTGCTTGGACTCCTTCGGTACGTGCCTTTGGTGCCTCCGTCCGTCGTGCCGGTCACCACGCGACCAGCCCAAACTGTCTCGGATTTTTTCGATTCCTCTGATGATGTACAGTGCTTCTCCAATCTAGATGTGACGAGCTGCTGCTCTGCTTTATCAACCAATTTTTTATGGGATTATATCAGCTGTTTCTAGTTTAATGCGATGCTCCATTAGCGTAAACGATTCATATTTCGTGATGACATGTGATAATAGGGCGGCCCAAGAGATTGTTCGTCCTCATCAACCCCTACGGCGGCAAAAGACGGGCAAGCAAGATCTACGAGGCAGAAATCAAGCCCCTGCTCGAAGCCGCCGGCGTCGAAGTCACAATGCAAGGTAAGGTTCTCCGTGGTTTTTTGAAGCGCGATCTTCTTCTCCTACATTCTTGGCTCTTGCGGTTATTTTGATCCGCCTGGTCCGTGGTTTTGTTAATTTGTTTCAGAGACCCGGTACCGGGGGCATGCCCGGGAGGTGGCGTCCTCTCTGGACCGTGCGAGATACGACGGGATCGTCTGCGTCAGCGGCGATGGCGTCCTCGTGGAGGTTGGTAACACGCAATATTCTATACCATGTTTAGGTTTGCATGGCTGGCATGGCACGGCATGACAGGGGTCGAATCCACGGCGTTGACTCCAGTAGTTGGCATCCGATATGCAGCTGCGAGTTTGACTTCACATAATGGTAATGGATGGATCTCACATGATCATCTTGTCTGGAAGGCTGGCGATAAACGAAAAGAAAACTGAGAGATATTAACAGCATCTGATGCAAGTTTAGCTTGAGCGTTTGTAGTGCCTTCAAATATACTCATTCGCAGAAAAAAAAATCTACTAAGAAAACATAGAAAATGTCGTACATGCTGTAAGGTTCCTACTTTTTTTTTCTTTCTCATGCTGACATTTCTGGCATGTAGCTTGTGAACGGAATTCTGCAACGATCAGACTGGGAGGAAGCAATAAAAATGCCAATTGGGGTAGTTCCAGCTGGTAAAAACAACTGATCTTTTTTTGAATGAATAACAATCGATCTTTGGTCAGACACTAGTAGCACAAAAGCTTCTGAAAGTGCTCAAACATGTGTGTTGGCTTGTTATTTATGCAGGCACAGGAAACGGCATGGCCAAATCGCTTATGCATGCTGCCAGCGAGACGTGCTCAGTTTCGGACGCCGTATTTGCCATTATCAGAGGTCATAGTATGTTTTCAAGCACATAATATAAGTTCCCACGGCATTTTCAAATAGAGAAATCTGATGGAAGCAACAACTCTCTCGTTGCACAGGTCACAAGCAGGCCTTGGATGTTTGCACTATAGTGCAAGGGGGAAAAACCATTTTCAGCGTGCTGTCAACTACTTGGGGTACGCAACCATGAAATCAACAATGTCTGTCAAATTCCAATGGAGCTTCTGCGGATGCTTGATCTGACTCTTTCAGAAAAATTACAGGTTTGGTGGCGGATGTTGACATCGAGTCTGAGAAATACAGGTGGATGGGGAGCGTGCGGTTCGACTTTTATGTGCGTATAATCTTGGTTCATTTGTAATAACTTGAAATCTTTGGAAACTGATGCCTCACATCGTAACGAGTTCTTCCTGATTGATCTCAGGCTCTGGTTCGCATAATGAACTTGCGCCGATACCGCGGAAGCGTCCACTTCGTGCCCGCCCCGGGCTACGAGGCATACGGAGATCCTGTCAAGCAAGCCGAGACTCCCATCGTGGAGCAAAACGGCGAATCTCGGGTGTGCTCTTATCAAGGTCCTAGGGCCGAGTTTCAGTGTTCAGACTGGAGATCCATCGATGGCCCGTTTGTGGGTGTGTGCGTCTACAACGTGCCATGGGCTGCTGAGAACGCCATGGCAGCTCCTGAAGCCAAGGTAATATTTTGTCTTTGTTTTCCAATGCTAATCTGATCAAGCTCTATTTGGTTCTGCAAAACCTGCCCGTTGAGTGCTGGTGTAATTTTTGCGACATGCACGGTGTGGCTGTGATGCAGTTCTCAGATGGCTACATGGACGCGGTCATACTGAAAGACTGTCCGAAGGCCGATCTTTTGGCTCTGCTGCTGAAGATGAGCGACGGGAGCTACGTGAAATCACCACATGTTACATATCTCAAGGTCGGCCATTTTTTCACTGTCAACCTGATCATCAACTTACAGCGATTCAGAACACCGTGCCAACCTTCTTCATAGAGTGGTTCATCAGTAGAATTTTTTCTCACTGGTTTGAATTTGCAGGTGAAATCATTTCTGTTATCGCCGGGGCAGCTCGTGGAGGATCTGAAAAGGGGCGGCATCATAGACGTGGACGGCGAGGTGGTTGCCAGAGGAGAAGGAACATACAGCATGATCCAGGATCAAGATTTGATGGCCTATGGCCCTTCTGTTCAGCTCACCGTGCACCAGGGCCTGGCCACTGTATATTGTCCCAAATGATCCTCCTTTGCTTCTCCTCTCCAGAGGTTGTCCGTTTGTGTCGATTGCTTTATTCTTGTTCATATTTTAAAAAGTACTCCATTGTATCCAAAACAAGATTCTTTCAAGAAAAGGTCACACGTCTCTGAGCAACACAATGTGCCTCGTCTTGCTTCAGTTTCAGTTCCAATCCCAACCAACCCAAACCGTTGGCGCGCCGTTGTGCTTTCGTTGAATCAGACTGATGCCGTATCTAGATAAATCTAAGACAAGCTTCTTGGAACCGAGGTACTAAATGAAATTATTGAATGCTAGTACATCTCAGTTCACAAGGGGTAACTTTTACAAGCATCACCAATCAAAAGTAACACGCCAAGACAGGATAACAAATTAACGACAATAACTGTAGAACAGATATTCAAATTTAGTCAAGCGTTACATCACTGGTGGTGGAGCCGTTCAGAATGGAAGAGCGATGCATGCAGCAATCGTCCAAGGCGGCAGAGAGAGCTGAAGGCGAGGTCACTGGAGGGGAAAGATGTTGGGCCTGCTGAATGAAATTAATGAACGAATGAAACTTTGAAAATAATGAAGCATTTGAAAGATAAAAAATGAAACAAATATTACAAAAGTTCATATTCACAAAGGCACTGGGGAAAACTTTACCTTTTTCTTTATAGTTGTGAGTCTGAATTGGTTGGCGCTAGCAATTTCTTCAGACTTCACGGTTCTCATCTAAAATGTGAGTGTATATTCAACTATTCGCTCAGTCTTGACAAAGAGGTCTCCAGTTACCTTCATCCAAGACTAACTGCAGAAGTTCATCTACAATATGGAATTAGCCCTCCAGAAGTACATGGGATATCTAAGTGAATCTCAGCTAACAAGGGATAGATAACTGTTACAACCATCCAAGTGCATCTCAGCACACAAGGGATAACTGCTAGTACAAGCATCACCAATCAGAAGCAACACTTCAGGATAACAACACAACGGCAATAACTATAGAACAAGATTCAAATTAGACATGTGTCTCAGTCCAGGTGGTGGAGAAAGTGGAAGAACGATACATGCAGTAATCAACGTAGAAGGGATCCTGAGGGGTCGGCAGTAGTGACAATGCCGAGAGAGTTGAAGGGTCACCGGAGGGGATAGATCTTGCACCTACTGTTTGAAACACAAGAATAAATGCAACTTTGAAATAAATGAAGCATATGAAAGATAAAAAATGAAATAACTATTACGAAAGGCTGTCTTTATTTTTTTTTTGCAAACCTCAAAAGGACTATCTTTGCAAAGGCCGGTGGATCATTTACCTTTCCATTTATTTGTAAGTTGTGAATCCGAACAACAGTTCATCTGAAATCCTTCCAGCGGATATGCGCAATTTTTGGCCAGCTTTCTCCGTCAGGCGCTTGGCAGCTCTCGTTCAAGCGTTCACAACCCCAAACACATATATGTTGGAGGGAGGATGGCAAATCTGATAAAGATGATATGTTGGGGCAGTCATAGATATCGAGTGTCGTCAGACTAGAGAAGCACTTCAGATTTCCTGGTAGGGACCACATTTCACACTCACCTAATCTAAGGCACTTGACGGATGTGAATTTTGCAGATTCTTCAAATGAAACGGATGATTCCTTGCATCCTTCGAGAGACAGAAATGGTGGAACTACAGAACCTTCATCCGAGAGCATCTGGTTGAGCATCACGAGGCTGCTAACATAGAGTGATTGCTGCACCCGAAACTGTGAAATGCAGTTCGCGCTGAGCTTCGGGACATCTGTCAAATGTACGTCGTGAAGTTGCAAGAATGGCAGGCCTTCGAGAAAGCACAGATCAGGGCAACGTCCCAGTGATAAGGATACAAGGGAAGTCATATGACCGATAGACAAGGAAGTGGAGCTTCTGCAGCCATACATGCTAAGACTTTTCAGGTGTGGCAAGTCACTACTGAAGAAATTATCTGCAACCATGCACTGGTATATACAGAGCTCCTCAAGAGACGACGGCAATAAACCTGCTCCATGTGTCAAGTCTAAAGAAGGGCAGGAAATCAATCTAACTTTCGAAAGAGAGGTAGCAGCTCGTAAGCCTCCTAATGACTTGAGGCACCAGCAATATCTGATGAACAAAAAGTCCAGCTTTGTCAAATGTTGGAGGACCACTTGCGACGGAAGTGTAGTTAAAGTCATGATCTCCATTAAGAACAAATTTCTCAGTGACGTCAGACCGCCAAGGCAAACAGCTAATGCCCCATCTGTAACACTGCATGAAGAAAGACGAAGTTCGCGAAGACCTGATGGTGGAACCAACGGCAAGTTGATGCTTCTTCCATAAATGAATCTCAGCCTCTGCTCGTGGCAACATATCCATGCTTTAATTATATCATCTTTCAGCATTACCTCGCCGTTCTCTCTTTCTAGAGCACTTGCAATGGTTTGAAGATGTGACATGTCAGCATCCATTAATGCCATCATTTGCTTCAGAGATGAATGTTCAGACGATAATACTTCCCTAATTCCCAATACAGAATCCACCTCCCATATCGAAGCAAGTTGTGATGCCAAGTAGTCTGTTCTCATGATGTTTTCCCTCTGATCATGCTGTTCTAGCTCATCACTGGTAATAAATATAAGCAGTGGGCAACTGCTAATTGATAAGTATGTAAGGGTTGCTGGAAGACACGATAACGTTTTCAGAGTCGAGACACTCTCGAGCTCTAGTTTTGAGCAATGCCTGAAGAGCTCAGTATTGAGTGGCAGGTCTTCTAAGGCACTGCAATCGACAAGCTTAAAAGATTCCAAATTCTCAAAATACGAACCCTCAAGTAACCAACTTGGATACGTGGCAGATTTATAACCCTTGATCTCAAGGCCTTTCAGTTGAGGCGGTGGCATCAAACCTTCTAGAATCTCCAACTGTAAACTGTCATCTGCATTCTTGCCATCATTGCAACTCCAGACAAGGGCCAAGCTTCCAAGATGACTTTTCTGATATAGCTTCGACTCTAAGGCTTCATTCTTTCCAGTGACATTCTCGACATTTCTGACTCTTAAACTGCCACCAAGCTCTTTCATGTCTCTGAGCTGCCGCAACTCATACCCCTTCTGCTTTTGCACACAAAAATCTTCAACATGCTGGAGCGAAGTTAGCTTGCCTATATAAGGCCAACTCCACCGCGCGACCCTATCCTGTCCGCCCCGGTCCGTTTGGGATAAAAGGGACAAAGGAGGCGGCCCAGCGCGCGACGGCCCGAACCCATCCTGTCCGTTTTGTGTCCGGGCCGACCCATTTCGAGCGCAAACTTGCGCCGGGTTTGGGTCGCGGCGGACACCAAACGGACGCGCCCTCGTCCGCGTCGGGGCCGCGTGGCAGGCGGCCACCTACCTTCCTCCCGCCCACATCAATGCGCACGGGCGGGCGGCCCCACCTGTCATCCACACATGGAAGGGTCGCCGTCCTTCTTTAAGTGGGAAGCGTGGACCGGTCGTCGTCCACACTGCCCCACGCCACCCCGCGGCCTCCTCGAAACCCGACAGCCCCAGGCCCCAAACCCTAGCCAAGAACTCGCCGGCCGGCCGCCCCGCAGCCATGGGGCTCTGGAACTACGGCCGCAAAGGCAAGCACGACCGCGAGGCTAGCTCCTCGTCGGGGCGTCGCCGCGACTCGGTGAAAAAGGAGGAGCCGGCCTCGCCATCGCCACCACGCCGGGCCCCCTCGCCGCCCGCATTCTCCATCGCCCCCGCGTCCGCCGGCGAGCGCGACCGGCACTACATCCGCGCTGAGGTGTGCCGCCGTTATTGGGAGACGAGGACGCAGATCCCCTGGAGCGACGCCCACCTCCCCAACAACTGGCATTTGTCGGCCGACCGCGTGCCGATCCCGCCGGTCCCGGTGACCGGCCTTGCGCGCCGCCAGGAGATCGAGCGCCGCCGCCGCCTCCTCCCGGACGACCTCTACTACGATCCCAGGTACGCCCCCGACTCGCCATTGTGGGACACCTGGTTCCACGATGAGCACGACGCGCGGCGGGCGTCCTATTTCGCCGGCACGTCGATGGGGCCACGGCGGCCACGCCTAGAGGGCCGAGCGGCCGCTCCCCAGGAGCGCGGGCGTAGGGTGGTGCGCAGCCTCACGCCCACGCCGTCGCCGTCTCCATCGCCACCACCACCTCCTCGCATGATGGCGGAGGAGGAAGCCCGTCTCGTGCAGCGTGTCATGGAGGACTCCATGCGCACGCACGACGAGCGGCAATGGGATGGCTTGGAGGAGGCCATGGCACTGTCTGCCGCCGGCAACGTGGCCTTCCCGGAGCTGCAGATGGCGGCCTTGACGGAGGAGAGGAGGGAGGACGCCATGGAGGAGGAGCCGGCGGCCGCCTTCCAGCAGCTGGTGGGCGCGGGGTGGGCCTGGTCCTGCACTGCTCCGAAGATGGCCGCCAGCCTGGGCGTGGACTGGCGCGCCACTCCGCCGCAGTCACCCGAGCGGGAGGGGTCGCCATGGGAGGAGGTGTTGCAGGCACATCCCGCCGTCCAGCCCGCCCCCGTCTACCAGGCACCGCACGCACCGCCGGCCCACCTGTGGACGCCGCCGGCCTACGTCGACCTCGTCAGCGACGACGACGACACCGGCAGCCAGTGAAGAGCGCCACGGCGACGGCAACGACGGGCACGGGCAGGAGCGCGCCGGCGGCGACCGTTTTTCTTTTCTTTTTTATGTTTAATTATTAATGTGACGAAACTGGGCCGTTTTGTGGCCATGGACCCCCCTAACTAAGTTTTATCTTTTATTAAACTGCATTTATTTACTTTTTTAGTCATTTTTTTATGTTTTCTTTTTTTTTATTGTTTTTCTAAACACGGACGTGATTTGGGGTGCGGCCGCGCGGTGGGCGCACGCACGACCCAATGAACACAGCCGGACACGGGCGTACCCATCGGCGCCCCAAAGGGACAAAATCCGGCCAATCCGGACGTCCGTTTGGGGTCGTGCGGTGGAGTTGGCCTAAGGGATTTGAGGCAGAGCTACTTCATACATCCTGTATCCCAGATCAGGATACCCTTCAAGATGTCGTAACTTGCTTAATTTACATAGTTTGTGAGGCAAACTCGTAACTTTATGGTTCAACAGAAGTAACTGTAGGTGGTAAAGAGCACATAATGATCGAGGCAATTCGGCACTGGAAGTTTTAATGAGGTTTAAATACCGAAGGTGTTTCAGCTTACCCACAGATTCGGGTAGCTTGTTACTATTGTAGAAGCACAAATAGAGTACACGTAACTTCTTCAAGTTTTGAAGTACCTGACTGAAAACATCGCTCACATCATCTGTAAGTGGGTCAATGCAGATAACAGTGCGCAAATGATGTAGCTTGCAGATACTGCGCTGATGTTGTTTCATACTCTCAACACGAACAGACAGACGACGGACGGTGCATGGTATTTCTGTCACCTTATCATCTTCTAATCTGAAACAGTCTTCTTTAGAGAGCGACTCTGCCAAATCATGAAGATCATGCATAATGTAGTATGTGTCCATAAATCTTTCAGAAAATGGTTGCAAGAAAGACCCAGAAACCATCTCATTGAGGTAATCCTTTCCAACATCTACCATTTTCCTGTTCTGGTTGCACGGATCAACAATCCCCTCCGCTATCAGCAGGTGAACCAACTCATAAGTGTTATACCTGTGCCCTTTTGGAAACAAACTACAATATAGAAAGCACCTCTGTAGACGTGGATCTAACTTCTGATAACTCCACAACAGAGCCATTCTAGGCTCACTTAAGTTGTCAATCTTTAAAGTCAGAGCATCTTTCCAGGCAGAGATATTCATTTTCCCTTTCAACTGGGAACCAACAACTTTTGCAGCCAAAGGAGACTGTCCAAGCCTTTTAGCTATCTCCTCTGCAATCACCTCTAGCCCTTCAAGCAACGGAGGGTCTCTAATTTGTGCTCCAGTGAAGGCATAGTATTTGAAGAGTGCCAAGAACTGAGTATCTTCCATGCTTTCCAAACGGAGCACCTTTTCACAGTAAAGAGCGGAAGGAAATGTATCCCGTCGAGAAGTTACCAAAACTTTGCTTCCCTTGTGCTGAGAAACTAGGGGAGCTAACAGTTGGTCCCATTCCATCTGATTACTCGAATCATCAAACCAAACATCATCCAATACAAGCAAGAATTTCTCTGACTTCTGCAGTATGTCCCTTAATTGGCAGTGGAGAGTATCCAGATTATCAAGACGTGGGCACTCCCTCTTAGCTGCGGATTCGATTATCTCCCGTGTATGACGATGGACATCAAGTTTGCGTGAGATGCACACCCACATCCTGACATCAAAATGTTCTTGTACCCTCTTGTCATTGTAAACATGTTGTGCCAAGGTGGATTTTCCCATACCTCCTGCTCCGACAATGGCCAAACCCGCATATACAGCTGAATTAGCTTCAACAGCAACTGGCTCGGTAAGAAGGTTTATTATATCATCGCGATCCTTGTCACGACCTATTACTTTCAGAGGTGGTAATGATGTGGCCTGAGGAATAATGGGCCTCTCTGCAGTGTTACCACCTGGTAAACAAAGAAGCTCAGAGAACCCCTTCCCTTTCGCTAGAATGGCCTTCAGTTCATTCAGCTGGCAAAGTAGCTTCTTGTTCCTTGGGCGAACATTGGATAACCTGTTAGATGCAGCACGCAGAGGCTTCAAAATAGTGCTGATGGATGAGGCACACAGTGGCGAGGAATCTCTCCCAGTCTTTGCTTTGCGCTCAAGGAGGTCATACTCATGCATGTCCAGCAGATCCTCAGCCTTGTAGAAGGCTTCTTTGAGCTCTTGGATCCATTTGTCCAACTTGACCCTGTGGTTGCCTTTGTTAGCTGCTTCAACCATCAGCTCGAACTGCGGCATAATTGTGCTCTCCAGTTCATGGAGCTCACTTGCCATGTCCACCCCAAGGAATGTTGAGGCATCTGCGAGGAGCCTCTTCAGGATCGGCGATGTTGCCAACTTTAAGCCAGCCAGCGCCACCCCAGTCATGGAATCACAGGGTACTGTTCGTTGGGGATTGGGAAATGGCTTTTGCACTGCAAACACAAAGATCTTTGGCAGCTGTGTAAATAGACAAAATGGCAGGGAATTAGAAAGACTTTATGAGGCAAACAATGGGATACACCAATTAGATGAAAATACCCGTAGGAGCGGAGAAGAACAAAACAAATTAGTCTACTGCAGTATGTTAGAAAAGAAAAGAAAAATTAAAGCAGAGCCCTGCAAGCAAATTTGTTTCTTTTGTGTGGACGGAACTATCTGTACAGGGGAAACTAAATAGCATAGGAGGTTGGAATGCTTACAGAGGTGAAGGAGTGAAGGACAGAATCGTTGCTGGAGCCACCACGGCGGCAACGGTAATGCAAGGTTGCCGACGAGGAGGACTGGAGAAGTGTTGTAATACAAGAGAAATCAGAACCAGAGCTCACCAAACAGCAAGACAAGAGAGCAAAATATCTGAACCAGAGGTACACTGGGAGCTGGTAGTCTCTTTCTGTTTCTCCACCACGACCACGATTAAGGCCTTATCTCTGAAAGCGATGGCCAAGAATAAGTATTGGTGTAATTTGTGTGTGGTTGCAATCCAGTTCTCAGGTGGCTACATGGATGCAGTCCTACTGAAAGACTGTCCGAAGGGCTGATCTTTTGGCTTTGGCGCATGTTACATATCTCAAGGTTATAGCCATCTTTTCCCTGTCAACCTGATTATCAACTTACAGTGTTGAATTTGTTTTCCACTGCTTCGCAGACGTGGGTGGCATCGCAGACGTGGATGGTGAGGTGGTTGCCAGAATGGAAGGAACGTACGGCAGGGACCAGGATCAAGATTTGATGGCCTATGACCCTTCTGTTCAGCTGACCGTGCACCAGGGCTTGGCCACTGTATACTGTCCCAAATGATCCTACCTGCCTTCTCCTCTCTCCAGAGATTGTCCATTCGTGTCAATTGCACTATTCCTGTTCATATTTTCAAAGTACTCCATTGTATCCAAAACAAGATTCTTTCAAGAAAAGGTCACACGTCTCTGAGCAACACAATGTGCCTCGTCTTGCTTCAGTTTCAGTTCCAGTCCGAACCAACCCAAACTGTTGGCGCCCCGTTGTGTTTTCGTTGAATCACACTGCGACCACCATTCTGGCAAAGCTTTTCACTGGGACGGCTAGTCGCCAGCGATGTCTTCACTTCCCACTCCCAGTGAGCACATTTAACTATTCACTCGGTCTTGACAAGGGTCCTCCAATTACCTTTCCAAAAGTAACTGCAGAAGTTCAGCTGCAATACGGAATTATGGAGCTTAGCCCTCCATAAAATTACGCAAATGATAAGTGCGACACGTCAGGTGCGTGGCAGTCCGGCCTTACGTTTTTTGATGACAATTTCAGTCACGCAAGGATGGCAAATTCCAGTGATACACGGCAAATTTCTGTCAAAAATAAACTGAAGTGCGAAAGTTGTCATTCTTGCGAACTAAAGTTGTCATCCTCGCGTAACTAAACTTGCCCTCGAAAACGTTCGGAGTTGCCATGTGCTCGTACCTGACGTTCGGCACTTATCAAGGTCCAGAATTATTAGATGAAATTAGAGTGTACATGAAATTATTGGATGCTAGTGCATCTCAGTACACAAGGGGTAACTGTTACAAGCACCACCAATCAAAAGTAACACGCCAAGATAGGATAACAAATTAACGACAACAATTGTGTAACAGAGATTCAAATTTGAACAAGCTTCGAACACTAGTCGTGGGGCCGTTTAGAGTGGAAGAGTGACGCATGAAGTGATCGACGAAGGCAGCGGAGAGAGCTGAAGTGCAAGTGAGACTGAGGCACTCCAACTCCTGGCAGGCAGCGGGTGGAGACGAGATCACCGTAGGCGAAAGATGTTGGTCCTACTGCATGAAATAAATGAACGAATGGAGCTTTGAAACAAATGAAGTATTTTAAAGATAAAAGATGCAACAAATATTACAAAAGTTCATATTTGCAAAGGAACTGGGGGAATTTTACCTTTTTTCTTTATATTTATGAATCTGGAAATTCTGTGAATTCCTTCCAGCGGATATGCTCAATCTTTGGCCAACTTGCTCCATCAGGTGCTCTGCAGTTCTTCTGCAAGACTTTAGAGTTCCACAAGACTATGTGCTGGAGGGAGGATGGCAGATCTGGTAAAGATGATATATTGGGACACATGTGGATTTCCAGTTTTGTCAAGTTGGAGAAGCACTTCAGATTTCTTGGCAGGGAACTCATTTCGCAATAACTTAACCTCAGGCACTTGACAGATCTGAAATCTGTTGATTCTTCAAATGAAACGGATGACTCCTTGCATCCTTGGAAAGACAGAAATGGTGGAACTGTAAAACCTTCAGCCGAGAGCATGTGGTTGAGCATCGCAAGGCTGCTAACATATAGTGATTTTTGGACCCGGAATTGTGAAATGCACTTCGCGTCAAGCTTTGGGACGTCTGTCAAATGTACATGGCGAAGTTGCAGGGAAGACAGTCCTTCAAGAAAGCACAGATCAGGGATACCTCCTAGTGATAGTGATTCAAGGGAGGTCAGGTGACCAATCGACAAGGATGCAGAGCTTCTGCACCCAAACATGGAAAGATGCAGCAGGAATGGCAAGTCACTACTGAAGAAATTAGTTGTAACCATGCACCGCTGTATACGGAGCTTCTCAAGAGATAATGGCATAAAATTTGCTCCATGTGCCAAGTCTAAAGAAGGGCAGTCAAACAATTGAAAATCTGAAAGAGAGGTAGCAGCTCGTAACCCCCCTAATGATCTGAAACACCAGCAGGATGAAATGTAAAGGTCGTTGAGCTTTGTCAAATGTTGAAGAACCACTTGCGATGGAAATGTAGTTAAAGTCATGATCTCCATCAAGGACAAACGTCTCAGTGACGTGAGACCGTCAAGGCAAACAGCTAATGCCCCATCCGTAATACTGCATGAAGAAAGATGAAGTTGACAAAGACCAGACGGTGGAACCAAGGGCAAGCTGATGCTTCTTCCATAAATGAATCTCAGCCTCTGCTCGTGGCAACATATCCATGCCTTGATGATATCATCTTTCAGCATTAACTCACCAGTCTCTCTTTCTACAGCATTTGCAATGGTTTGAAGATGTGACATGTCAGCATCCATTAATGTCATCATTTGCTTCAGAGATGAATGTTCTGACGATAATGCTCTCTTAATATGCGATCTGGAATCCACTTCCCACAATGAAGCAAGTTGTGATGCCAAGTAGTCTGTTCTCATGATGTTCTCCATCTGATCATGCTGTTCTAGCTCATCACTGGCAATAAACATAAGCAGTGGGCAACTGCTAATTGTTAAGTGCATGAGGGCGGCTGGAAGATAAGATAATGTTTTCAGAGACCAGACATTCTTGAGCTTCAGTTCAGAGCAATGCCTGAAGAGCTCAGTATTGAGTGGCAGGCCTTCTAACGCACTGCAATTGACGAGCTTAAAAGATTCCAAATTCTCAAAATGCAAACCCTCAAGTAGCCAACTTGGATACATGTCAGATTTGTAACCCTTGATTTTCAGGCCTTTCAGTTGAGGCGGTGGCATCAAGCCTTCTAGAATCTCCAACTGTAAACTATCATCTGCATTCATGCTATTATTGCAACCCCAGACAAGATTCAAGCTTCCAATATGACTTTTCTGATATAGCTTCGACTCTAAGGCTTCATCCTTTCCAGTAACATTCTCGAGATTTCTGACTCTTAAACTGCCACCAAGCTCTTTCATGTCTCTGAGCTGCCGCAACTCACATCCCTTCTGTTTTTGCACACAAAATTCTTTAAAATGCTGGAGCAAAGTTAGCTTGCCTATATAAGGGATTTGAGGCAGAGCTACTTCATACATCCTGTATCCCAGATCTTGATACCCTTCAAGATGCCGTAACTTGCTTAATTTCCATAGTTTGTGAGGCAAACTCTTAACTTTATGGTTTAACAGAAGTAACTGTAGGTGGTAAAGAGCACATAATGATCGAGGCAATTCGGCAATGGAAGTTCTAATGAGGTTTAAATACCGAAGGTGCTTCAGCTCACCAACAGATTCAGGCAGCTTGTTACTATTGTAGAAGCACAAATAGAGTACACGTAACTTCTTCAAGTTTTGCAGTACCTGATGGAAAAGATCACTCATATCATCTGTAAGTGGGTCAATGCAGATAACAGTGCGTAAATGATGTAGCTTGCAGATACTGCGCTGATGTTGTTTCATACTCTCAACACGAACAGACAGATGACGAACGGTGCATGGTATTTCTGTCACCTTGTCATGTTCTAATCTGAAGCAGTCTTCTTTAGAGAGCGACTCTGCCAAATCATGAAGAAGATCATGCATAATGTAGCATGTTGCCCGAAATCTTTCAGAAAATGGTTGCAAGAAAGACCCAGAAACCATCTCATTGAGGTAATCCTTTCCAACATCTACCATTCTCTTGTCCTGGTTGCATGGATCAACAAGCCCCTCAGCTATCAGCAGGTGAACCAACTCATCAATATTATACTTGTGTCCTTTCGGAAACAAGCTGCAATATACAAAGCACCTCTGCAGACGTGAATCTAACTTCTGATAACTCCACAACAGAGCTGTTCTGGGCTCACTTAAGTTGTCAATCTTTAAAGTCAGAGCCTCTTTCCAGGCAGAGATATTCATTTTCCCTTTCAACTGGGAACCAACAACTTTTGCAGCCAAAGGAGACTGTCCAAGCCTTTTAACTATCTCCTCTGCAATCTCTTCTAGCCTTTCAAGCAAGGGAAGATCTCTGATTTGTGCTCCGGTGAAGGCATAGTATTTGAAGAGTACCAAGAACTGAGTATCTTCCATGCTTTCCAAACGGATCACCTTTTCACAGTTAAGAGCAGAAGGAAATGTATCCCGTCGAGAAGTTACCAAAACTTTGCTTCCATTGTGCTGGGAAACTAGAGGAGCTAACAGTTGGTCCCATTCCATCTGACTACTCAAATCATCAAACCAAACATCATCCAACACAAGCAAGAATTTCTCTGATTTTGCAGTATGTCCCTTAATTGGCACTGGAGAGTATCCAGATTATCAACACGTGGGCACTCCCCCTTAGCTGCGGATTCGATAATCTCCCGTGTGTGACGATGGACATCAAGTTTGCATGAGATGCATACCCACATCCTGACATCAAAATGTTCGTGTACCCTCTTGTCATTGTAAACATGTTGTGCCAAGGTGGATTTTCCCATACCTCCTGCTCCGACAATGGCCAAACCCACATACATAGCTGAATTAGCCTCAACAGCAACCGGCTCGGTAAGAAGGTTTATTACATCATCACGATCCTTGTCACGGCCTATTACTTTCAGAGGTGGTAATGATGTGGCCGGAGGAACAATGGGGCTCTCTGTACTGTTACCAGCTGGTATGCAAAGAAGCTCACGCAACTCCCTGCCTGTCACCAGAACGGCCTTCAGTTCATTCAGCTGGTGAAGTAGCTTCTTGTTCTTTGGGAGGAGATTCGATAACCTGTTAGAAGCAGCACGCAGAGGCTTCAAAATAGTCCTGATTGATGAGGCACGGGGTGGCGAGGACTCTCTCCCACTCTTTGCTTTGCGGTCGAGGAGGTCATACTCGTGCATGTCCAGCAGATCTTCAGCTTTGTAGAAGGCTTCTTTGAGCTCCTGGACCCATTTGTCCAACTTGACCCTGTGATTGCCCTTGTTAGCTGCTTCAATCATCAGCTCGAACTGCGGCATGATGGTGATCTCCAGTTCATGGAGCTCGCTCGCCATGTCAACCCCAAGGTATGTTGAAGCATCCGCGAGGAGCTTCTTCAGGATCGGAGATGCTGCCAATTGCAAACCAACCAGCTCCACCCCCGTCATGGATTTGCAATTTTTGGGGGGTATTTTTCTGCTTCTTGACTTCTGAGAATGCACGGAATCGGGTATAGTGTAAAGACAAAAGACACAAAATGGGGGAAAGCTAGGAGGATATAAACAGGCAAGCAGGTAAAATAACTCCAATGACAGATTTTTTTTCTTCTCTCTTTCCTTTTTATGGGGAGTGGGGTTGTGGCTACTTGGATAGTTGGATGCAGGAGGAGATGCAGAAGCGTTTATTCAGGGGAAATGGGCGGAAAACTAACAGGTAGATCACGGTAAACAGGAGCTAAAACTTTTTCCCCTCTTGCTTTTGACTTACTGTTTTTTGGGTATGGAATGACCCAAAGAAATAAAAGAAGGGCGACAGAAGTGCTTCTGGAGGGGCAAATTAACGGTGAAGGCAGCAATGGGTGAAAAACCTGTAGAAGTGGGAAACAATAGATCAATTAGTGAATTGCAAAGAGAAAAGGAACACAGCACAAAGGGCAGGTTTTTCTCTCTCCTTTTGTGCCACAGAAGTATTTCAAGAGGTAAAAAAAGATAAGAGGAGGGAACCTTGCAAGTTAAAACAGCAAAGGAACTCCTGGAGGTGCAAACACGCGGTGAAGTCAGCAACGGACGGAAACACGAGGTGCAAATACGCGGTAAATGACAGACGAATTAGTAAACTGCAAAGGGAAAATGAACACAACACAAAGGGCAGGTTTTCTTTCTTCTTTGTGCCAGCATAAGTATTTCTAAAGGTCAAAAAAAGAGGGGGGGAATCCAATAACAAGTTAAAACAGCAATGGAAGGATCTGAAGCTTACTCAGATAGTGGACCTTGGAATTAGAGTTACTGGAGCGGCATGGCAACGATGGCGGATGCAAGGCTGCTGGAGAGGTCGGTTGGAGCTAGTGTTGTATTACAAGAGAAATGAGATACAGAACTCTCCAAGCAGCAGGTCAACAAGACTATTGATATGATCCAATGTACACAGCTCTGATCCAGCTACTTGTCTTTTCTTAAATTGAGCCGAGCTGGACCTGCTAAAAAAACTACAGTAACCACTTTGGATAGCTCTCTAATCAATAAAAAATGTGCAAGTGGCCTAGGCTACAATCGATAAAATAAAAACAAGTGACAGTTCATTCATGTTATGAAACTATGAAAATACTCGTTCAAAGAGCATCCCTTGACATATTTCCGTAGTTTCAAATAATCCGATGGTGATAATGGACCTGGTGTTAGCACATCAAAACCAACAAAGCCAATGAACTGGTGGCTTACATTACCTGCTTCTACCATTTTATTCTTCCTCACTATCACTGGCTTTTCACACTTTCCAAGTACCGTTTCAGTTCAGAAAGCTATGATCAAGAATAAAATATGACTCTTAGTCTTCGACTACAGGAAATCCATGAAGATGTATAATTTGCAAATGGGTAGCATGATTTCCATCAAACTACGTGATACGATTCACCATCGGACTGGGTTCCGTGAAAACGCAAACCAGAGGAAGGTGAGATGAGTCTGGGAAAAATGTCCTGCCAAGCATCATGTCAGAATAATAATTAGCTTTTTTTGTCCTACTAAAAGCATACAAATTCAAACGAGTTCTGAAAATCACACATATAATTCAGTAGAAGATCTGAGATTCACATCTGAAAATTGCACATGAATTAATTTTCAATCGGAACAATTTTGGCATGTTAAAATATCTGAAAATTTATTCAGCTTCCAAAGTTCAGAAAAAATTGCGGAAAAACACCAAAAGATCAGAAAAAATAACATTTACATTCATAAAACACAACTCTGTTTAGAAGTTTTGGGTGTCTATTTGGTTAAGGAAGAAAGCACACTAGTGAGCCAGTCTTAAGGAATAGGCATGTTATAAGAGAAATAACCTGAATTACAGGCATATGTTATAGTATTAGTTATCATTTCCTAAGGAAGAATTGGTAGATTAGCAGGCATATGCAAACATTCTACATTGAATGGACATCACAAACGAACATTGTACAATTGTACCGTATATAGCCAATATGCAACAGAATCCATCGACTTTCCACACAAAAATGCATTTTTATCATTGACAAACAAGAGAGTCTAATCCAAATTACACATATTGATGGCACTGCAGTAGTGATCCAACGACCACATAGTACAAAGAAAGGAACAATTCAGAAGCAAACCTTACAAAATCTTTATTGACATCGAGAAGTAACAGAGTTGGAATACACTATCCATACTAAACTATCAAATCAATGATGCAATTTGGTTAAACCCAAGTGTAGACACATCATGACTTGTATTTTCATAACTGAACATCCATGTATCTTTGGACCAGTCCAGGATAAGCAAGTGCACAAAGCTAAAACACCAATGCAATCAGTTCCAACTGCCCTAGATTAAAACAAGATTGTTCTTGCAAACTGAAAGATCATAATATCACCAGGACAGTGGAATATAAATTGGCACTTATTGCTCCATATTATTGATGGAGAAGAAACATATCCAATAGAAAGGACAAAGGTAAGCATTCTACAATTGATGGACATCACGGAGAAACATCGCACCACATATAATAATTATGAATCCATCTGAGGATTTTTCATAAAATTTGCTCTGTTATTGACAAAGAATAGAACACAATCCAAATTACACATATATAGCACCCACGGTAGTGGTCAAAAGACAACATCGTAACAAAGTAGAAACATAGGAACAGCTCAGAACAAAACCAATCCTTTGATCACAAACAGCAGTGGAAGCGAGGCCATAAAACACACTGTACGCTGAATACAATCAAGGGTCCCTATAATCATGTATGAAACAATAGATCTGTAGGGGGCAACTTTCCATAAGATTGGCATTGTTGTCGACAAACGATATAGCTTGAGCCAAATTACACATATGTATACCATTGCAAGACAAGAGCATGACAAAACAGAAAAGAAGAACCAACTCTGAATCAAGCGGATCATTGTTCACAGGCCAGCAGTGGGAAGCGAGGCCATAAACGCACTATACGCTGATTCCAGATCAAAATTGAGCTGTCTGGCCTGCTGATCTGTGAGCTCGTCCCCGGCCCCCATCTTATGCAGCTTTGCGAGCCACTCGTTCACCTTGACCTTCCCCTCGAAGTCGGGCGGCAGGACGGTACCGAGCTTCCCCATGGAGGTGGAGAGGTCGTGGAGCAGGGGGCGGACCTGGTCGTTGGCGAGCATGTTGAGCTTGACGGCGTCCATGGCGGTGATGAAGCTCTGGACGCACTGGGCGATGGCGGAGGCGGAGGCCGCGGTGGCGGGCGGCGCGGAGGAGGAGGAGGTGGCGGCGCGGAGCTCGATGGTGGCGGGGACGCCGGACTGGACGAGGCGGTTGAGGGCGGCGGGGCAGTCGAGGCGGTAGGCCTGCACGAAGCGCGGGATGGTGACGACCCCGGCGAGGGAGGAGGAGAGGGAGTTGAACTGGGAGATGAGCTTGAGGCAGTCGGCCTCGTAGTCGGCGGCGGAGACGAGGTCGCGGACGTAGGCGCGCTCCAGCTTCTCCGTGGCCTTGATGATCGCGTACAGGTCGGCCAGGCTCTCCAGGAGCTCCCGCTCGCGCTTGTCGTTCCACAGCTTCACCTCCATCGGCGCCGGCGAGCGGCGTCCGTCTCCGGCCTCCCTCCCTCCCTCTCCCCGGCGAGCGATTTGGGGGCTAGGGTTTCGTGGCGTCGCGCGAGATTGGGACAGAGAGGGGAAGAAAGCGGGGTGTGGGGAAGCTTGGGAGGATGAAGAACTACGAGGGGTTTCGCGTAAAGTGTGGAGTCTTTGATGCTTCTCCGCACGCACGCGGTAGTCTGCAAGATCGCAACGCTCTGTCGCTGTGCACGCGTTTATACTGCCTTTCTTCTGAAGCTTTCTTTCACTGCTAGTCGGCCAACCAAAAGCAAAGATGAATGGAATTGCACGGCAGCTTCTGCTGCCCTGTGGTTTACTGCTCCCTTTGTTTACAATCTTCAACGGTTACTAGTAAACCATCTCCTGTAAGGTAAAGATGAATGGAAGATGTTTTCGATATTTTAACGTAGACTACATACAGACAGAAATGAGTAATAAACACAAGGAAGCTATCATCTTCAACAGGGACATTTATGTGAGCTCGAGCTCACATGCACCCTTACAATAAAATCGAAAAAAATATTAAAATTTTCAAAAAAATCTGATTTTTTTTGTCAACAATCATTGATGTATGGTTCACATGCGTGCCAATTTTCATGATGAAATGACATTTGTGGAGGCCTTGACAAAAAAGACAAAATCATGCTGAAAAAACTGTTTTTGGAAGCATTTTGAAGCATCGATTTTGTTTTTTTTTACCGAGACCTGCATGAATGTCATTTTGTCATGAATTTTTGCACGCATGTGAAAAAGACATCAATGTTTGTTGTAAAAAAATCAATTTTTTTAAACTTTTTAAGTATTTTTTTCAATTTTACTGTAGCAAAGGGTGCATGTGAGCTCGAGCTCACAAGAGCACTTTCGCTTCAACAGTTACTAGTAAATCATCTCTTCAATAGGGTGTTATTAGGGTTGTCTCAATGTTTTTTCTAGAAATATGTATGGGGTGCTCCCGCAACTCCCTAGTAAATTGCTGACATTGTCGGTGGGTCAATAATTTTATTTTTGTCACTCTCTCCCTCTCTCCCGCTCTCTTACCCGTCGGGGTCAGGCGGCACGACGTGGTAGCTCGAGCAGCATGGCAGAGTGCGGGGTTGGCGACGCTCGAGGTGGCTCGAGTGACACGTCAGAGCTCGCGATCGGGTTTGGGGAGGGATGGCCAAGAAGGAGTAGGGTTGTGCCAGTGAATGGGGAGCGGGCAGATGACTCGATGGTCGCTGGTATCAGGGCAGCACGCTCGCTGGAGCAGAGGGTAGCGGCGGGCGTGGGGATCACATTTTCATATATTGCCACTTGTCATGGCTTGGAAACATGTGAAGGTAGGACTGTTTTTTTTAGGTACTAGACCATGACGGCGCGCGTTGCAGCACCCGTCCATTTTGGCAATAGAATGGTTGGAATTTTTATATACATATGAAAGCATATAACATATAAAGAATATGATTGCCCGCTGAAGTTTACAAATGTATTCTAGAACGTACTCTAAACTTTAAAGAATTGGGGGCAACAATCTCTAAAACTTTCAGGCAAGTACAATCATCAACTGGTAACTAAAATGGCACAAGACAACATCTACTAAGGAGACAAATGAGAGAATAGAAACACAGATCCTTGTGCGATTTTAACTACAAGTGGCTACAGTTATTGATTCACAGGAATATTTTGTTGCAAGGAAAAACATAGTAACCATCCGGTGTAATGAGAAGCCAAATGAGAGAATAGAAACACGGATCCTTGTGCGATTTTAACTACAAGTGACTACAGTTATTGATTCACAAGAATATTTTGTTGCAAGGTAAAACCATAGTAACCATCCGGTGCAATGAAAGCTATTCTGCCAAGAGAACGAAATTTGGAGTCTCTCTAGCTATCTTGCGTAAATTACTGCATTTAGGACCTCTTCAGCAGGAATGTGATGTTACAACAATATTTCCCGCTCCCATCAACACCGCCTCATAGAAAATAGGGGAAGCGACAAATAGCAGTTTGGGAGAATGTACGCAGACAGCAAATATACATATTGTGCTCAAGATTTTACAGAATAGGTAATAAGGAATAAATGAGCTGATCCGATTTGCATTCCAATGAGGAATCAACAAATCTCTTGGATAACTTCTCCCAAGTAGAAGATTGCTATATTCGTGCCTTTGCCTCACATTCTAACATCTCCAACATTGCTTGTTTCTCTGCCAACAAAATAATCTGTAATCATAACAACAAATTTGCAAGTACTCTTGTTGATTATTATATACACTGGGAAAAATGGGCATCAAATGCAAAATCAAATTTACCTTCAAGGGCACCTACGTACACTTCATCCAGAGGCATCATGTAGTGGTCCAGGCCTGATCTAACTTTTCCTTGTTTCCTGTATCTAGTGTGGTCCAATGATTTTCCTTAATGTGTTATACTACTGTGTATCTAGGAACAAATTATCAGGGAAATTATTGGCCTTTGTTTCTCTTATTGATACACAAACCAGGTTATGTATTTGCGCATTTGACTTTATTGTTGTAAGTAACCTGTGGAATACATCAACAGACAGTATCATTGCATGAATGACACACATACATATCAATGATTTTCATTGCAGATTTACAGAGAAAGAACACTTTGTTTTACATGGATATAAAGCATGCAGAGATAGGGCATGGCTGCCCCCGTGAAGAAATTACCAAGATGACAACCATTGCAATTGACAGATGAAGAACAATCCAAACAACATATGAGAACAAACCTTCAGAATTTGCCCAAACTGATAGACCAGAAGCAACATGTACACTGCCCATACAAAATTAAGATTGAAAATAAATCAACGAATTGTCGGGTTGAAGATGGAACCGTAAGGAAAATTCTGTAGAAAGTGGAAGGTAGAGGGGCAACTTAGAATGAACCATAGCTGCAAGATGTGTTACCCTGATGCCAGAGGAAGAAGGAGAACATGAGAGCGTGAGGGATATATATAGGAAAAAGAACTCACGTAGGTGTAGGTTTTCGAAATAGTAACTGCCTACACTAATCGCGGCCGGTGAGTGGCACGCATTACCTGCCATAAATGAGTATCAGGAACTGACGCCTCAGAGGTTGAATGACGTCGGATCGAGTTCAATCGCCACTCCAATGTCTGCAGCCCTACTTCTCCCTTCTGCATCAGCTGCCAATGCGTGCATCGCCTCTCCCACCACATCGATTGGCAAGGTCCACACCGCGTCTCCTCGCTCTGTGTCGGTCTATTGTACGCCGGTACATGCGATGGATCGGATCGAGGCTCAGTTCGTTTCCTGTTCCGAGAAGGACGATGTAGATAGGATGGAAGGTGGAGCAAGGACTGTTCGTGGGCTTCATGCAAGAACGAGGGCCCAATTAACTGCAGGCCATCAATTTTGTTGCGGAAGTAGCTGCCCAGTCCTGGCAAGAAGTAGTGCGCCTGAGTTTGATCAGACGGCCAAAAGCACCTAAAACTGAAGATCCGACGGCCAAGAATGCTAATGGCCTGAGATGGTTGGAAGAGTGCTCAGTTTTAATGTATCTAAATGGCTTGATCATGCAGCTACGCACACAACCAACACCGAGCGTGTAGATTTCATCAACTTTGGGGTGTATGTAGCATGGAAGTGAAATGTTTTAAGGTGTGATGGAGGCCTAACGTTGCCATAATGTTGCCTTCGCCATAACTAGGGGAATTGTTAGGGGAGATGCAACCCCACTCCCACCATAACCCCCTCTTCCTACCTCCACATGAACCCCCTCCCCTTTTATGGGGAGTTGGAGTGTGTTTTTTCATTCACAATAATTTATTTGGAAAAGAAGAGTTGTTTGAGGGTGTCTGGGGTCTAGCTCTCGAAGCACGAAAAAAATTATTGTGGAAATGGAAATAGCAAGTGGGTGACAGCAACAAACTACTAGGACACATACAAGAGAAACTGATGGCTCCTTGTCAAATAGTTCACGGGATGCACACGATGTTACTGTACCATCCCGGCATGACATCGTAAGACGTGGATCATCCAACCTAGCGAACAACTTTAGAATTTTTTATCTACCATTAAAAGACCATAGGGCATCACACTCGCATTTCTGGCGGCTTTTTCATTTTTTAAGAAAAATAGATTAATAAGTGAGGTGTCGAGCAATGTGACAACTTCAACCTTGAGAAATCCCCTTACTGGAGGTTAGATCAAAGTGTGTGCTTTGGTCTTGTATAGCTTTGGTTGGTTCAACCTAACTAAATGTCGCAAACAAGAAAATTTCACCGAACTCGGGTCTTGATACATGTAAGTGCATCTAGTATTTAGTGTCCCTTAATGTATTTTGGATGATTAACCATGAAGCAGTTGATGGGCTAACGTATTTGTCACTATACATGGGTGAAAATCCATAAGAATTTGTTTTGGCATGTGGGTGGTGATCCCTAAAAATATTGTGAGAAGATTGACGTTTTTGGAGTGCCATTGAAGACTTGGAAGTTGTTGTGTAGACTTTATTTGCAACGTAAGGCAAACCATGCTACTAAGGGGGTCTAAGTGAAGCAAGATCGAAGTCTTCATGTTTGTGCTCAATCGAACATATTTCTTCGCCGAATCAAGATTCGAAAATCTCCTTGCAAGCAACTCTTTGATCCAATTTCGGATGTAAATATAGCCATCCCTAGAGACCTTAGGATTTACCGAATCTAGAAACTGAATTCACCTTGGTAAGGAAATGACTGGAAGTCCTTTTTATCGCAAACCATTTCAGTTTCCTGGACCAATAAAGTATCACGAAGGTTATAACAATAAAATAAATAGGCTAGAGTTAAGGTTTCACCTATATACGTGTACGCGGCTCGTGATTATAAATACATAGAGCAACATTGCATGAGTAAGTAATAAGATACACAATGTGAAAATAAATAAGTGGGTGATGCGTCCTCGTGGCACCACGGCTGACTACTGCTGCATCGAGGACTCATGGGGTTTCCTCGGTTATCT